TGCTTTTGGGATCACTTGGGTCTCATGTCCCCCTACTGGCTCTCTGTGGGCTCCCACAAGTTCAAGTACTGCTGCCTCGTGCACCACCAGCACTGCTGCTCTTGGGTTATCTAGGGCTGATGGCAGCACTGCACTTGGGGTGCTGGGTTCATGGGAGTTGCTTTCACTACCAGGGGTCCAGGGTCTTGTATGCAGCACCTGCTGCTAGTAGAGCCAGTGTCAGGGATGCTGTCATTGGGGGCTGGGTCATGATTTCCCTTGTGACTCTTTTTTTTTTTTTAAGATTTTATTTTTATTTTTCCTCTCAAAGCCCCCCAGCACAAAGTTGTGTATTTTTAGTCGTGAGTTTTGGCATGTGGGATGCTGCCTCAGCATGGCTTGGTGAGTGGCACCATGTCTGCGCCCAGGATTTGAACCGGCGAAACCCTGGGCTGCCGAAGCAGAGTGCGTGAATTTAACCACTTAGCCACAGGGCCGGTCCCTGCTGTGACTCTTAAAGCCTCAGGTCACAGCTGCCACCCACCACTGCTAGGGGAGGAGCAAGGGCTTAGCTGTGAGTGTTGTTGCTGCTTCTGTAGCCTTGGGTCCTTGGGGCACTCCAGTGTACTTTTTGAAACCTCAGGGCAGGGCGCCACTGCCTCTGCTGGGAATATCTGCATTTTGGATGCTGTCCTCACAACTAGAAAGACCAGCACCAAAGCTGAGGGTCTGGGTGGGGGCTGGGTAGTTGGCATTTCTGTGTTTCCTGAAGCCTTAGGTCATGGACGCCACCTGCCACCATTGGGGGTGGGCAGGGGCTAAGCCATGAGTGCAACTATTGCCTCTGGCTGTCAGTGCATGTTGGTGTGCTCCTTGAACCTCAGTTCAAGGCACCACAGCCACTGCTGGGAGCACCCATGTTTTGGATCACCACTGCTGGAGAAGGTAGAGGGGGCTGATCCTCTAGTTCCACTGGTTCCTAGAGGTCCAGTCCACCTACCTTCAGATGTATAGATACATGGATCTCTCAGGCATTCTGGTGTGCTGTGCAGGGAGTCCTTTGTTGGTCAATGGGTGTCCACTGGTTGTAAATTTGAGAAAGAGACAAAAGAACAATTCACTCTGCCATGATGCTCATGTCACTTTGGAATTTTTTAAGGTTGGACAAATTCTATAGAAGAATAATGTTTGATGACACATCCAAGCTATATGAAATTCAAATTTTAGTGTTGGTAAATGAAGTGTTGTTAGGATTCAGCCATACTCATTTATTTACATAAATTCTGAGGATGTATTTGTGCTATAAATGGCAGAGATGAATAGTGAGAACAAAGACCATATAGCCCACAAAGCCTAAAACATATATTCTCCGGTTCTTAACACAGAAAGTTTTCCTATCCATGCTCCAATCAATAACTTTTGCATAGGATGGCAGTATTGTGAATTTTGGAGACAGAGTGTCTGGGTGGGAGGCTACTTCCGTTCTTTTGGGAACCAAAGACCCTTCTCTAGGCTTTAGTTTCCTCATCTATGAAGTGGGAATAATAATAGTAACTCCTTCACAGAGCTGTGAGAGTCAAAAGATATAATGCATGCAAAAGTACTGCTTTTCTTAAATACAACTTATGATTGTTATTGTTGAGATTATTATTGGCTGCTTCACCTGAAGATGTAAATGCTAAGAGCAGACATAATCACCAGAACTGGATACATTTTAATGAGATTAAACAGCTTTGCTAACGAAATTCAGCTTGGGAAGAAATATTTAAATATCAGTCAAACATATGTGGATGAAAGTGGGTATTCATTGTGCCAGAATTAGATCTCATATGCACTCTACTTCCTTTTAAAGATAATTCCACCTGCCTCCTGCTCATTTCACTCCAAGATTTTCCTGTCAAGTCTCAAGCCAATTCTTTTCTGGGCCACTGCAGGAAAAAAGGTAAGATGGAATGAGAGCAGCCTATTTGGCCCTTAGGAAGAGACAGAACTGAGAAGACTGGAGTCAGCAGCCTTGGGAGAGAGGTAGCTGCATGAGTGGGATCATGGGTGTAGTAGACACTGTTGGTGCCCTGTCCGCATCCTCTTCTCAGCACCACCTCTCCATTCCAGAGGCTGCTGACAGCCTACACCTCCTGCTCTGTGCCTAAGACCTCATTTCTGGCCATTGGACCACATGCAGCCCATGCACAGGGCAAGTCAGAAGTGCCAGTGGGAAAGATGGAAAAGGCCTTGAGTATTCAGCGATCTGTTCCTCTGTGAACAGTGGGGAACCCAGTGAGGTTTTGAAAGCCTGCCTCCCCCACTGCTCTACTCTGTCTCATACCACTGAGACTCATCTCCCCAAATGTAGAGCAGAGCAGCTGTGCACGACACACTGAATTTTCTTATTGGGTAAATGCCGGAAAGACGCTGGCTCCAGAGAACAGCTGAGCATCAGCAAAAGATGAGTAGGCTGGAGCTGGGTGCTGTTATACACTTGGGCTTCGGAAAGGAGTCTTCAATGGGAATGGCGCTTTGGAGGGTGGTGAGTGGAAGAGGAAATTGACCTTCATGGACTCACGGGGAGCCCTGCCTCTTCTTCTCCTGTGTGTACATTGAAGATGACTCCTTCTCTGCAGCATTGCTCAGGGCACCTGAGTAACAAACACCTTCGTCTGTTGTTGGATTTGTAGATTGGACTCTGCATATTGAAGGGGTTTGGGGTGGGGGGTGGGGAGAAGTAGTCCTTATGAAGCCCCTCCTGATTCCTCTCCATCCATCATTTTTGGGAATTCCTCCATTTGCTAGTTAGTTCCTTACCTCTCAAAAATTACAAGTTCTGGGGACCAGCCTGGTGGCGCAGCAGTTAGGTGCGCATGTTCCACTTCTTGGAGGCCCGGGGTTCGCCAGTTTGGATCCCGGGTGTGGACATGGTACCACTTGGTAAAAGCCATCCTATGGTAGGCATCCCATGTATAAAGTAGAGGTAGATGCACACACATGTTAGCTCAGGGCCAGCCTTCCTCAGCAAAAAGAGGAGGATTAGCAGCAGTTAGCACAGGGCTAATCTTCCTCAAAAGAAAAGAATTACAAGTTCCTGGTTTTCTAGTAGATACTCTTAAAAATCCAAACATTGGCTTCTCTCTGCAGCCAATTCCTGTGGTCTCTTGTGCCCAGAAGCTGGCTGGCTGGATAGATTTTTCGTTCCCTGATTGTCGCCTTCTTCCTCCTCTTCCTCTTTTCTTCTGCTTTGAAGGGTCTTAGCCATGTCTAGAGCCCAATTCAGGCCAGAATACTCCCTTTTTAGGTGGCTGTAATGCCCACAATCCTTCCTAGGAATAGGCAAGTTTTCAAAAATTCTGCAGGAAAGTTTTAGGGAAGAACTAAAAACACCTCACCCCACCATGACCTGAGCGAGTTCAGAACATACCCTCTGATTCTTCTCAGGTGAGCGGGCAGCATTAACATGAATCGTGCCTGCCTCAGACTGGGGAGGATATGCAGTTAGCCTACAGATGCAAAAAAGAGGAGGACGGAGGAAATATCTGAATGGTTTGGAAAAAAAGATAATTTGAGTAAGAAGAGAGGTTTTCATGAAGCAGAATCTGATCTTGCACCTCAAGGTGGTGTAACAGGAACTAGATTTACCCTCGTGCCCAAAACAATTACAAAGCCAAACATGGCTGCCTGGCCTACTCCTTGTTCCCAGAAGGCTTAGCTAAGTGTCTGCTCTTGTTACCAGGAAATTCTCCTGTACCGTGACAGGAAACCTCATTTACCTAAGTTAACTTGAGTGGGTTTTCATTCTTTTCAATCAAACGTGCTGAGAGACAGCCCACATAGAGGGCACCTCTAGTCCCCTGGGTGCTGTTCCCACACTGACTCCTGCTCCCTGGGGAGTGGAGAGGGGGCATGGCTCTAACACCAAGCAATTCATCCAACAGATTTAAGCCCTGGATCCGTGGCCTCTCCTCCTCACTCCTCCAGGTCTGTCTCCTACAGGATGAAAATGTTCTAGCCTTTCCACAGTGCTTTCTTTTGGGGAAAATAAATCTTAAATGGGGCAAATGCTCTGAGGAAGCTTGGGGGGCAGCCTACAAAGCTAGGCCCAAGATTACAGACATCCACTCACTCTTCGTCTCAGCATTTCCCAAAGAGATTGAATGGATTCAGTTTTCCTATGTATTCACTTACACCACCAGGCAAACAGAGATGGTTTCTCCAGGACCTGCTGGGTTTTGCTATTTCTTGAGGGATTTTTTCAGCCACTGTTAGTAGCTACATTCCCATAAATCCAAACACAGGCCCCAGTCAAACTAGATTAAGCAAAAGAAGAAAGCAGGGTGATGAATATAATGATTTGGATCCATCATGGGCCCCTTGTCAAGAATTTATCCTGGCGTTAGCTGGGGGTAGGAGATGTGATGCAGAAATCAAGAACGACAAAGAGGTCAGAACTTGAGTCTCTCTCACTCATAGACACCTATGCTCTCTCATGTTTGCTTCAGTCTTCTGTCTTTGCGGATGGACTCTCTCTGGTTCTCCATCTCATGGTCTCCATGTGGAGAGACTCTGAAAGGATCTGAGTGGGAAATCTGATCGTCATAAACCTTTGAATTTTAGTCAATACCTTGTGCTTTGTATTCCTCATTGGCTGAGTTATTCTTTCCTTTGTAAAAGAAGTTAAATATCATAGACGCAAGTTGAGAAGTCTCAGCAGTTGAGGGGAAAGTGGGAAAAAGACACCATGTGTTGTGTTCATCAAACCATCCTTTGTTCTCTTGGGCACACCAGATTATGTTGCAGATTGCAAGATTACATATAGCAAGATTATATTCTTGCAGTTTGGTTGGAGTCAAGTGATTGTAGAATGTGGGCAGAAATGATGTACAAGACTTCCAGTTCTGGCAGTAAATACCCCTGTGAGAGTCTCCAAGCTTTCCTCCCCTTCTGTGGAGGCCTTGCAGACTGTGAGAGATGGTGACATAACACTTGGAAGGAGCTTGGGTACCTGAATAATCACAACCACATCGCTGAACTGTGAAATGAATCAGCAATTATTTTTTATTGTTTTAATTCACTGATATTTCAGAGATTTTTGTTACAGCAGCTAGCCTATCAGGTAACAGATCATTTAGGGCCACCCTACTCTTCCTACTCTTTTCAGCTTTTGAAGTTTCTCCCTCTTTCTTCAGCTACTGCCTCGAGAGCACCCAGCATTAAAAGCATCACAGTCTCCACCAGACCCTGCCTTTTTAGGTAGCAACCAAGGTGACTCTTGATTAGAGATTGAAAAGGGAGACGATATGCTTGGACCTAGCTATGTTCACCATTCTTCTCCCCAGTTTGGTTTTAAAGACTATCCCAGTGGCATGTCTCAATGAGGGAAGGAAAGGAAATGGGGCCTGAAAACAGAACTAGTCTGAGACTTCTTGGAGGGAACCCGTATTTGGGTAAGAGTAGTCTTGAAGATTACGGTAGTTGAAAGTTACACTGAATCAGCTGTATCCATCAGATCAGGGCAAAAGCTGGGCTCGGTCTTAGAACTTGTTGCAGAGAGAAGCATGATGACAGCATTTCCAATCCAAATTAACATTGAAATTAAGGAACATCATATCAACACAGAGGCTGCTGCAACCCTGGTATCCATATGAAATGATGCCATCTGGAGAGAAGCAGAGAAGAAGGCAAGTGAGACCCCAGAAGCTCATGTTGCAGACCCATGGGTGTGGGGCCTAGCATATCCTTACTTGCAGTGCTCAGTAAATCTTGCTGAATGAAGCAGTGGATCAAAGCATCAACAAATTAATCAAAGAATGAGGAAAAAAGGGCACATTCTGTCAAGAACTCCTGCTCTTGAGTAGGGATGACTCTCTGCCTCCTGGGATTGAGATGCTTGAGGTAGGGCCCCCAGATGGGCTTTCCTAGGAGAGCTGTGGGGGCTCTGAATATGGTGGTTCAATGCACCTCCCCACACAAGAAAGGGCAGAGGGGAGGAATAGAAATTACCATACTCATCCTCCCTCACCCCTCTCCTCCAACTTCTGTCCCCAGTTTCCAAAAACTCTACCATAGTTGAGTCCACTCAGGGGAATTTGAGCAGCCCAATTCCAGTCACCCTCAGGAGCTAAACAGAAGATACTTGCTTCCCCTTTTATAGGTCACCAACCCAGTTAAGGGCCAGTGGCAGCCCAGTACCAGAACCAGCTGATACTGCTTCACTAGTTTAGGTGAAAAAAGAAAACCAACTCCCTGCCTGAGCAGCTCATACTCCTGGGGATCCTGAGGGGCCACCTTCCAGCTCCAATAGCCACGTGGCTTGTCATTGGGGCCTAGGCTCCCAGGTGGTCCCATAGATGGTTCATGCCACCCTCCACCGTGAATACCGACTGCCAGTCCCTACGCTCAGGCAAAGGTCACCCCAGGAGCATTCTCAGGACCCACCTACCTTCATAGACCTTCTTCACAAAGCACTGTTGGCTGCCTGTAGTCTCGCAGAATCTTTCTCCACTTACGCAAACCCCACTGGCATTGACTCGATCACAATGAAAGCATTGTAGAGCTGGAAAGTAAAACCAGCAGAATGAGGCTCTTCTGGACCAGTCTCCCCGCTGGTCAGGGGAGGGAGCACACACTCTGGCCCAGACTCAGGCTGGACAATGATCAGTTCCCACCACCTGCTGTATGTGCTGAAAGCCTGGTGTGATGTCTCTGTGCTTGGCTTATACCTGGGAGGAGGCCCGCATGCCTCTGGGTGCAGGGTCTGTGCCCAGTACAGACAGAATCCCCCTCGACTCCCAGGGATGGACTGTGCTGCTGCAGGAAGAAGGTCAAGGGCTGCACTGCAGCTCACCTGACCCCACTCGCCAACTGATCATCACCCCACCCCAGGGCTGCCCTGTGGCGCAACGCCAGGGGACACCGTTCAAAATATATCCCATGTGAACGGCATCTGCAGGGGAACAGCAAGTGAAGTGTTGGAGTCGGTGTAGAATCAGGACAGCCCACCCCCACTCCATCCTCCCTGCAGCACCACGAGGGCCCTCCTCACCCTCCTCCAATCAGGGCTGGCACCCTCCACTCTCCCTTTCCATCCCCAACATAGGGCTGCTTAGGAGAACCATGGGACTCAGTCTAAAAAGGGCTCTGATTGGGGTCAGGAGGGGAGTGAAAGGAAGAGGGGGAAGGAAGATGGGAAATAAGAGAGAAGATCAGAAGGAACAGAATGAAGCAGACAGTGGAAGATTGAGGAAAGGAGAAGATGGAGGGAGGGAGCTGTGAGCATCACCTACAAATGTTTGCCCTGGGGCTGCAGCTCCTCACTCTTCCACAGCCTTTGGGGGAGCAGCCAGCTCGCCCATGCAGGGATTCAGCAAGCACTGGGCCCCTGCTATGTGCTGGGCACTGTTCCAGGGCTTCAGAAAGATGATGAAAGGGAGGATGAAACATACGTTTCACTTATTTACGTAAACACTAAGCAATAAATTGGGAGAATGACTGACAATAAACACATGAGAAAGATTATTTCAGGTCCCAGTGACTCATGAAGAATGGAAGACTGAGTACACATGACAGAGACAGTGGGTGAGGTGGGGGGCTGTTACTTTAGACAGGGTGCGCCGAAATGTTTGCTGAAGGCTTAATAGACTCGAAGTTTGATGATTTAAAGAAAGAAGTTGATTGTTGAAACAGACCTGAGCAGTTGGGAAACTGGCTGCGGGAAGATACACGGGCAAGTGCAAAGGTGCTGAGATGGAGTCAGCTTGTTCCGTTCAAGGAACAACAAGGGCACGTGCAGCTGCAGCAGCTGAATCCTGCATCACTGACTGAAGCAGATGCCTGAGCATCCCCTCCCCCTGACCCCTCACGTCCCCCTCCAGGCGCTGAAGGCTGCTCCTGCAACACCTGCACGTCCACAGGGGGCGGTGGGAGTGCACTCCCTTGCACCCAGGGCAAGCTGGAATATTAGAGAGCAGGTGCCCTTGACACATCCCTCTCCAAGCACAGTGGGGGATACGGGTGGCTGATGCTCCAACTTTCTCACCCCTGAGTTGGGGTAGCTTGAGGCCAGCTCTGCCCTGTCCTCAGAATGACCCCGCAGGGTGAATCTCCACTCGCCCACCCTGCTATCTAGCTTGATGACGCATCCTTTATCAGCTTCCTTCTCTTCCTTGTCATTGTCCTTCCTCACTCCCCACGCAGGTTTCTCCTGGGACTACCTTCCAGACTAATGATTTTTACCCATATATCTCTCTCAAAGTCAGCTTCTGGGGAAGAACAGCCAGGGTGATGAATTTCCTTTACATCAAATGAATGTTCTTCTAAATTATTTGGCAAATTTTTTATTCCAAGTCTTCCTGTGCTTATACACAAAAAAGAAATGCTGACTATTAATAGGCTGATTCTATTTGCTGAAGAACATTGCAAACAAGTGATGCCAATTAATGCAAATGATCATTCCATTTTTCCACGAATCCATGGAATCAAATAAAAGCTGTGTAAATGTATTCTGTAGAAGGCGAAACATCTGACTTTTTGTGAATGATAGAAAATTCAGTTTAAAAAGTCCACATTGAACATAAAATCATTGATTTTTGTGGTGACAGTATAACTGCAAATGCTGGTGGAGCATAACATTGCAGCAGAAACAAAGTTCTTACTCAACTGAGAATCTACGGAACTAAAATACACTTATAATTAGTTGTAGTGAATAGATAATTCTTAATTGTGTCCCAATTCTGTCCAAACAATTGTGACAGTGTGTGTGTGTGTGTACATGTATACATATCAGGTATAAATGAATTTATACATAATTATATATATATCTATGTGTGTATATACACACAGGTAGAATGACCATAAAAGTTTTGTGATGAAAGTGGAGTAGAATAAAATATACTATTCAGCAATCTTTCTCCTGCTGCCTTTTATTTTAATCAGACTTTGCAGATGGTTAAGCCTTTGAATAGCTATTTTATGGTTCAAAGTCTCCTTCGATGGTATTGAGCATTGGGTGAAAGAGTCCCCTATGTTTTATTCATGTAATAAAGTGTCCGACTCCATTATTTTAATGTTTGATAGCTGACAGCTCTGAGACTCACCTCCTCTGCCCACATCTGTGCCCCAGGAGCTCCCTCCTTTGCCAGTGGTGGGAGTTTCAAACCACACAAGCCCCTGGCTGCGTGCAGCAACTCTCACCCTGCCTCTCTGCCTAATGAGCACGTGAATCCCAAGCCAGCCTCCTTTCCCTGCTCTCTCATGCCATCTTAAGACTGGACTGGAAGCAAGCCCTCCTCTCTCCAGGTAGCTTCAGTAGGTAAGTAGTAAACTTTTTCATACCCTCTGTGCATGTCAAGTCTTGGCATCATCAGTCTTGACATCTGAACCAAATTTTGGTGTGGGCCCATTCTGTTTCTACAGGATAACTCCAAATCTCAAAATATTCAACAAATAGAGAACCCAAACACCTCAGCTTTCAAAAGTGTTTAGTTGAAATTATGAAAAACAAATTTACAAGCAGAAAGACATTAAAATGTATCCCTACAAAAGGAAAACTTCCCAGATCAACCATAACCTATTTGGCAATCTCACGTGTTGTGCATTCTGACAAGGCAGGCTGATAGTCAAAGAGAGAGGTGATTCCTGGAAATGTGAACCACCACTCACACAGGGTCTCCTCAGTCCCACTGCCCTCCCATATGCTCCCCCAGCTCACCTTGCAGGAAGCCCAGCAGCGAGGACAGGATGACCAGTGGCAGCAGGAGGTGCTTACCCATCTCTGGGTTTGGCTTTGGTGCTAGGGATTGGCAGGAGACACGACAGAACTGGAGGTATCAAGAGCCTTTGAGAATCCCAGCCTTATAACTCCAGGCTGGGAGGACCAGCCAATGGCAGCCCAGGCCAAGGGCTGCACTTCCCCAGGGCACAGAGCACACAGAGTGCCTGAAGGAGCCAGGGTCCTGCATTCCTCCCCACGCTACTGACCCTGCTCACCTCCACTGGCCCTATCGAGGGAGCTGAGTCATGTGAGAAGAGCTGACTCTTTTCTGTCTCAATTTCAAGATTGTGAAATGGTCGATTAACGCCTGAGTTTGTAGCCTAAGGATTTGAGAAATTCAAGTGAGTTAGTTAATGTGCCACCATTGGAAGAAGGTTGGCTTTTAAGGAAATTCTGAAGTATGGTGTCAATAAAGATACTCCTAGTAAAGATACTCTCCTAGTAAAAGAAGCACAGGGAAATAAACACATGCTGAGACTTTGTAAAGTGCAGGCCAGAACACAAATAGATTTTGATGGTAGTTTTGTCTCATTTCTTGGAAATGAAACATGTTTGCACTTGTTTTGTCATGTTTTGGTAAACAGGAGCAGAGGTAAAGTATTTCTCCCTAAATTTTCAAGATCAATATGAAATATAGAATCATATCATCTGCAAATAGTAACAGTTTTACTACTTCCTTTCCAATTTTGATACCTTTTATTTCTATTTCTTGCCAAATTGTTCTGGGTAGGACTTCCAATACTATGTTGAAGAGTGGGCATTCTTGTCTTGTTCCTGTTCTTAGAGGAGCAGCTTTTGATTTTTCACCATTAGGTATGCTGTAGGCTGTGGCTTTCCCGTATGTAGCTTTATCATGTTGAGGTACTTGTCTTCTATACTCATTTTATTGAGAGTTATTATCATAAATAGATATTGAATCCTGTCAAATGCTTTCTCTGCATATATCGAGATCATCAAACCCTAAAGAATTGGCTAAAATCTAGTAGAAATAATTAATGAATACAGTAAAGTTGCAGAGTACAAATAATATAATCAGTTGCATTCCTAAATACTAACAATGAACTCCAGAAAGAGAAACTAAGAATACAATCTCATTTACAGTCAGAACAAAAAGAATAAAATACCAAGGAATAAATTTAACCAAGGAAATGAGAGACTGGTATACTGAAAACTATAAGACATTGTTGAAAGAAGGTCTCTGCGTGGTGTGGTAAACATTTGTTTACCAAACATTTGCTATTCCATCTCCAAGTGAATTAACTTCCCTGCCTTTGAAGTTCCAAGCAACTAACCCCAACGTTCTTTTCCATCTCTACCAACAGATGGCAATTAAGGTGGCAGGTTCTGCCACATAGGCACGTTATGTAGTTTTTCTGGGACTCTCAAGAATGTAAGTTATTAAAAATTGTTTGATTTTCTAGGGTTCATCTGTCTTCTGTTAATTCTAGGTCCAGCAAGAAGAACCTAAAAGAGCAGAGGATAATTTCTTCCTCACCTACAAACTTATATATAGGATAGTAAATAGTATACATACAATATGTACAGTATACATATTATATACAGTATACATTTATTCCCTATAATATATATAGATACATTTTACAAATATATAAATATATGTATACAGTTTTTGTAACTATATAAACAGGATTCTGTTTCCCTGGAGAACCCTGGCTGATATATCATCCAAGAAGTTCAGCATAATTTAGGTAGGATAAACACAAAGAGATCAACAACTAGATGTATCATTGTAAAAGCATTGAAAGACAAAGTCTTGAAAGCAGCAAGAAAAACATGACTTATCCCATGCAAGGCAGCCCAAATAAAATTACAGCTGACTTGTCTTCATCAATAATGGAGACTGGAGGCAGTGGGATGACAGAGAGTCCTACCTCGGGGTCCGTGGACACTGATTCCGGGACCCCCTCGGAGACCAACATCTGAGGATGCTCTCATCCCTCGGTCTGCCCACTATATCCCTGGGTTCTGCCTCCCGAGATGTGAAGGGCCAACTGCATTCAGACTGCTGAAAGAAAAACTGCCAACCAAGAATCTTATGTTCAGAAAATTCACCTTTCAATCATGAAGGCGAAGGAAGGACATTCCCAGAGAGACGGTCAGCGGAGGGGAGGCTTTGGGAATCACGTGACATCTCATCTCTGGGTTGTTCTCCAGCCTAAGTAGAGAGAGTTCCACCACATCACATATGCTTATGTAAAACATATCCCAATGCTACAAGGAAAGATTTAGAAGGAGAAAAAGTTAGGATTTTTTTTTCTCATACATACATTGAAAGTGATTTTTTTAATGTGTTGTTGGGAAGTAAACTTTCCCCGGATTTCTTTGTGCTCCTAGAAAAAGGTCCAGCCTCTTGAGACATGGAGATGTATGCAGTTTTAAGAGAAAGATATTTGCTCTCACTGCTACTAGAAACACTTCACTTTTTGTAGGTCATGAGGATGACATGTCTAACAATTTCTCTCCTAATTGAACTGATCTAGAAGAATAATCAACTTCTCTTATCTTGCTGAAATGTCCAAGTAGTAACGGCCCGAAGGAGGACCCAAGGGGGAAGCTCCCAAGATCCCAGGAAGATTGCAACACCCTTTCCTGAGGCATTAACATCTCAGGCAGGAATGAGGTCTGGCCTTGCAGAGACCTCTAAGTTGAGAAAGCCCCAGACACTTGTGGTTCTCTGGCTTCTGAAGAGAGTCTACTTACACAGCAGAGAGTTACAGTGGGCATCCAGCAGGAACTTGTGCATCCCATCTCTACGGAGCAGAGATTTTTCTCCCTCCTTTCAGGAAGGGTTAAGGACAGCTGTCTCTCTCATACATATAAAAAGGGCCAAACCTCCACTTTCTGCAAATTTACCTTTGGAACGCCCAGCCTCTTGTGTTCGCAATTTTCCCATGTACCTGTTATTGCATCGCCCAAGAAGAAAGACTAGCTCAAGGGGGAGCACACACTTATCACTTTCTCTGAGACAATTAATAAAAAATCTCCCATGTAGAACACTTGCAAGCCATTTAGGGATAAAATGCATAAAGATAAATGTCTAAAACCCAACAAGTGTTTTATTAGAAGTGAAACATTGTTTTGTTGTGAAAATGCAGCATCCTATACACTGGGACCTGCTAGAAAGTCATATAATCTGGATGCAGATCACAGAGTTTTACTAACTCTGAAAACATTGAAACCTCATATTTTGAAAAACAGCAACAAAAAATCCTGGCCTTCACTGCAGTGGGACTGAACCGCCATAAAATGTGAGTAGAAAGTATTTCCTTGGAGTTGCTAAGGGCACACGTTCGGAAACCTCCTCTTGATTCCACTCACCAGCGCTGTTCTAGTCCCGGGATCGCGGAGCAGGGAGCAGACTGTGCCCATTCCCTCACTCTCAGACCAGGGCTGACTCAGCACCAGGCACCATGGCTCTAGCACTTAGGATTCAGGACACTGTGAAAGAGCCACAAGAAAGTTTGACGTCCTTTTCAAATCACAAGAAAAGAAATGAACTTTTATGGTAAAGATAATATATAGTTTTTTACATTGCTTTGTTTTATTTATTTTATTTATTGTTTTTTTACTTTTTGTTACTGAGGTCATAATAGTTTATAATATTGTGACATTTCAGTTGTGCATTATTGTTTATCAGACACCATATAAATGTGCCCCTTCACCCCTTGTGGCCCCCTTCCAGCCCCTTTGGCCTTGGTAACCACTAAACTGTTCTCTTTGTCCGTAACTTCATTTATCTTCCACGTATGAGTGCAGTCCTACAGTGTTTGTCTCTCTCTGTCTGGCTTACTTTGCCATAATACCCTTAAGGTCCATCCACGGGGTGTGAGTGGGACAATTTTGTCTTTTTTGTGGCTGAGTAGTATTCCATTTTATATAGACCACCTCTTCTTTATCCACTCATCAGTTGATGGGTACCTGGGTTGCTTCCACATTGGAGATAATATTTTAATGTGTAATGTTAAAAATTTTATTTTTCTGTGGTGGTTCTGTGGGACCACCAAGGCCAAAGCTAAGGAGACAGTCAAGGAGAGCAGGGGCTTGGTACATAAAGGGGAAATGAGCAAGTAAGAAACTAAAGGATATTGAGAGCCAAATTTTCATGGTTTGAGGAGGGAATTACAAATATGGAAAGGATGAAAGCTAGAACGGATCATGTGATGTTATATTGGAATTACAGGTATCAGTGTGAAGTCAGGTTTTGACTGATAGATGGATAGAGAATATAGACACGTGTGTGTGTGTGTGTGTGTGTGTGTGTATAAAGCTCTGAGCATTAAGAAGACCTAAAGGCAATGAGCGCAACTAATTTCCAGATCTTGGTTCTAAATAGCATTTTCCACTAAAGCAATCAGAGCTCCCTGGAGAACTGGCTCATTCCAGGGCCCCCCATGAAAAAATATTTTCATCTTTATACCAGTGCAGTCAAAAAACAGATATTTAATATATTTTGAAGAGGCGAAGGCCCACAATGGCAAAGTCTCCTGGGGCCTGAGAAGGTCATAAGGCAGCCCTGCTTCAACAGCATCTATTCAATTTACGTAGGCATATTCTAGAAGGAAAGTCTGCATCAAGGTAGGATTTTTCCTCCTAGGGCTGGAAAACGGGGGTCTAGAAAGCCCCGTCCGCTAGGATCCCTTGAGAAGTCCACGAGATGAGACAGGGGAGGACTGGGCAGCACCTGTGAGCAGAGCAGATGCAAGTTGGCAAAAGCAGCAACACACAGGCACGCGGCACCCAGCCTTCCAGTCCCAATTCTGGCCCAGTACACTCTAGGTTCCATGTGGATTCCCTTGGGGGTGGGGAGAGGGAGATATGCCACTGTTGCCCATATAAATATTTTGGATGCAGTTTTCAATACATTTCTGCTTAGAGAAAGCCATGGAGCTTGGATTTGTGGTCAACTGAATGGTGGTCCGTGTCCCAACCCCTGGAAGCTGTGAATGATCTTAAACAGCAGAGGGGCTTTGCAGATGCCATGCAGGACCTTGGAGTGCGGAAAGCAGACTGGGCGATCTGGGCAGGGCCAGTGTGTTCCCAAGGCGCCTTCTAAGAGGAAGGAAGGCAG